AATATTTGCTGAAGTCTTCAAATTTGGGAAATTGGTGGAATAGTTGAAATGTTCAAACTAGATAATGGCTGCTTTCATGAAATGCTAAGGAGAGGCACTTACAAAGTGGCAACAAGGGTGATCGTCCTTAAGAAAACATTCATTTATCAGTCAATAAATTAATGAAATAACTCTTATCCTTTTCCTATAACTCTTTCCCAAAAGTTTCCTCTCAGCCCAAATTACATTTGCCGCCTATTTTTTCCTGAGGAGGAAGGCGCCTTCCAAATAAAGCACTGAGTTGCAAGTACCCATTAGAATCTATAGGAAGCCCAGAGGCATTGCTTGGAATGCCAGAGACTGAGGACTTAATTTGCAATATGCCAACTTCCCACTGTTGTTTGTTTTTAGTTAAAAGACTCAACTGAAAACATTCAGTTGCGTTGGAAGCCAGGTGAACATAAAAAGAGTTATGTAGAGGCATACTGGTACCTTATAGGCACTATGCTGCCAAAATCAAATGTTACTACATATATCTTTCCCTTGTGGCCTAATAATCAAAAGTAGCCATGATGCCTGAAATCATGCTGGTTATATTTTAACCACTCAGAATAACAGACAAATGGAAAATGGCATTTTGGCACCCTTTAGTATCTGAAATTAAAAACTTGCAAAATTCTCAAATCACAATTCATAAAGTATGCATTGTGTGCAAATACATATAGGAAGCTGACTAGAGAATATACAATATGTGCCATTACTGATATAAACCTAATCCTAGGGCTTGATATTTCCATATTGCTAAATTTATGGGGTTACATAATGAATAGTGGTAGAATGCTTCTTTGCTGATTTTGGTACTATGGGGATCAGGAACAAAAATTATGAATAACAATGTTAGTGACAGAAGTGGGCCTTTGCTATAAGATATGTGGATTGTTCCTATGAGAAGGTATGGGATTGTAAAATGTGTAGGAGAATGTGGAATTGGCTGCATCAGAGCAGAAGTTTTCTTAGTAATTACTGAAATTCTTCTACTGAAATCCATATTTATGTCTCTGAATTAGGAGTTATCACTCTCACACACTCATTTTTCCCCCCTTTTGATTAATTCTTCATTTTCCATAGCTATGTGGCAGGCTTTCCATAATAGTTGTACTGATTGGATTTGGCCAGTACAGATGAATAAGAGATGCAAAGCTTTTGACTAATTTTTAAAATGACTTTGCAGAGTTTGCAAACTGAACTTGAAATGTTAAGAATTGAAATATAAAAAACAACAAAACTCACACATTCACAAAATCGTTACATATACTTAACCAGTTAAAAAGATAGTTTTGTTGCACTGTTTGTGCAAGCTCCTTCACAAACAGTGCAATGCACCAATCTTTTCAAGCAGCTTGTCACTTTTGTATTTTGTATTTCAACCACTGCTTTTTTCTAAGTAGCACTCATGAGATCTGTGAACAGCTGGTCAGTCACAAGTATAGCCCAAGTGTTTGCAATACAGAGCAATATGTACAGCTTCCTACAATGGAAGTACTGCTGCTTTTTGGTGATAGTTGAGTTCTACATGCCTGGAAAGGGCTCATAAAAAGAAACTGTTTAAAAAAAAAACACATTTTTCAGTTCAGTAAAAACAAAACAGGAAGTTCTAAAGATCTGTTCATAAATACAAATACCTCAGTTATAATCCTATGAACTAACTTTGCTATTGCCACATAATGATATGTGGAAAATAACAAAAGCATACCAGGGCATTCCATAAATTGTTTCAGGATCAAAAGCAGATTTTAGCCTTTTTGTGACAGTCTTAAATAAAAAGAAAGAGCAAATACATCAAACGTAAGTGAAGTCCAAACAAAGAAAAGCTAAAATCATTAGACATATGTGCCATTTAATTTGACACAGTCTAGTATTTTATGGTTAGAACATGGAACATTGCTTCTCTTGGAAAATTTAGCATAAGGTATTATTAACACCAGGCTCTCAAGGGGATGTTTATTCCAATCATGTGGAGATTTATAGTATTAACCATTAGCTCATTCTCAATCTATACATAAGAATACAAACAGATGTGAAGTTTAGAAAACAAAGTTACACATCAGGAAACATTCAGAAACACAAATGACAATCTGTTGAATTATTCAGGTTTTTTGACTGAAAATAAAAAACAACATTATTAATATGTTGAACTCTAAAGACAATCATAATTAGTATTAGTGGTTACTTATAAAAATTAAACATTAATAAAAAATTTTTAGCATGCCTTTACCCTTGAACTCCTAACCTTTTTTGGCAGTTGGGCATTTTTAGTATTTTGAGAGCATAGCATAGCACAGGGCTGTCATTTGTTATATTACTTTGGAGAACTAGTTTGTTGGAAGAAGTTTATCACCAAAAATATTAAATTATACTCAAAACTTTGGGGTCTTAAGAATAATTTTTCAGAGATGGACAAATATTATAATTTCAGAGAAATTGGATGCGTGATTTAGCAATTTTGAAGAAAATTATATACTCTGTTAATTGGTAGGTGTCACATTATTTCTGCCTTTGGAAAAGGCTTGGTGAACATTGAAAGCTCAGTCTCCTCTAAAAGATTTACAAAATCAGGTTGCGATACATGTAATTATGTTTTTTTTAACATATGTTTCCTTTTGTATTATTTGCTTTTGTTTTTACATGTGAGCGGTTGGTTTTTATTTTATGTCTGTGTGAAATGGATTAATAAAAACTATTGGAAGCTGATTATTGTATTGATTAAGTATTTCTGGAAATATGCCCTGTATCAGAGTCTAAAAAAATGCTTAATAAATCTGTCATTGATTATTTTTGAAGGGGCTTTGTATTAAGGGAGAAGCAAGATCATATAATGGAATCCATAAAGGTCAGGTTCATGTCAATGTTTAAAATGTGTACGGTAATTATTGTGTTATTTTAAGATTAAAAGCTTGAATTTGTAGACATTTGTATAAATCCCTTGTTTCTTTTCCATAACTATCTAAAGCAAAAGGCAAAAAGTTATTTTCAAGCTAATCCATTTGAAGGAACTTTAAAAATATTGCACCAGAAAGATGAATTATGGCAATCTGTAATAATAATAAAAGATGGAGAGTGATAATTATAATGCTGACAGAAAAAATTGGAGACCAAATCCTCTGTTGTTATCCAGTTATTATTAAATGATCTAGGACTGGTTGCTACAGAATTTTCATTAAAGGTAAGATTTATCTCTAGAAATTTGAGTGAGGGATCACAGACTAAGCAAAGATATATCAATCCTTCATGTAATATTCTATATCTAAAGCTGTTCTCCAAAACTTAGGAGCACATTATGTGCACTATTACTTATTATTTCCTGTTACAAAAGACTCTTTCCCAAAATTAAAATTACAATGTCATTCTAGGTCCTTTCCTTAAAAAGAGGGAAGGTGGATTAATTTAGAATTGAAAGAAATAGGCTTCATAAGAAGAATGTCCATAGGAGAAGCAGAAAATTCTTGTATGCAACAAAAAGCATTTAAGTAGTAATAATATTAGAAAAAAATCATTCAAAGTAGTGAGAATAGCAATATGTTTTCTCCTTTTTCTTAGGTCTGTTTCTTTGTCCTTGTTTAGTTTTTCCAACTGTTGGTAAATAGTGAACCAGCCAACCAACAACAATTGAAATGACAATCACAACAAAACTACTAATCTTTTGATGATGTAAAGTTTAAAACTATATTTAAATCCTAGACGAATAGAATTAGGATCACATTCAAAGATAAAAAAAGTTTCACATAGGTGTTGCTTGGTTGTTGTTGTTTCTTTGGGAATAGAAAAATGGATATGGTTATATAACTATGTTGTTTAAACAGGAGAAAGATCCTCTGGACCCTTTAAAATGGGAAGAAACCCATTTTAAATTTCAATGGTAGCAAAATGATGAGAGCTAGATCACAGCCAAGAAATCAAGAATGCAATATGCTTATGTCTACTATTATTTATTCAAAATGCTGCCCAAAGTTATGACTCATTTTCAAATATGTATCCAAAAAGGAGAGTTTTTGTGGCAAAGATGTATTTTTTAAAAAAGTTCTATTTGTCTTTTAAAGTCTATTCTCTGTACCAATTTCTTTTTAAAATGTTATGGAAAGTTACATAAACAACTACATATCATGAAATACTAAGAAAGACAATGAATACGGACTTTCTAGCATTTTACTTTGCAGGTGATAAGAAGCTCAAATTGAGTTCCATGATGGAACACCCTGAGACATTATGGGGAGGTTGGGGGAAACCATATTAAACATAAACCAAGATCATTGGCAGCTTATCTCTTTAACAGCAACTTCATTTCTATGGCAGTATAGCTGATGAAAATGGTTTGCTGTCTGCCTTAATGCATATAATAATAATGAAAGTGGAAATCCTTGCATTTTCCAAGTTTCTGTGTTTCTGGGAGGTCAGGTAGATCATCACAATTGTGACAGGCAGAGATAGGTATAGCAGGAACACAGGGATCCACTGTTTGTAAGTGAACCTGCTATCTGATCCTCATTCCCATCTATCTGGCTGTTGGAACTTTAGGGGACCTGGGCTCTAGCTGCTGCTTGTAAAGGCCATGCATGCAGGCTTTTAGTGACAAGCCTGCTTTGTATCACTGAGCCCTAGCTGGGCTTAGAGATGCAAGAAAGGCCTTATGTCTCTTAGAATTGTGCCCACTAGCTTTTAGATTTGGTGACAACCAAAATCTTGGGGGTGGGGGTGAGTGGAGCAGCTATAGTTATCTGTGGATCTTTGAAGGCTTTCATAAGCTCTGCAGTTAGCCATTCTGACCCTACTTTGATTAAATCTGTATAATTCTTGCCACCTTGATCTTGCCCCACTGGATGTGGATCAAGCCTAATGCGTAAATTATAAATGGCCTTCCTTTACAAAAATACATTAAAGATTACATCCTAACATGTTTTATCTATATTATTACTTGGCCCCATTAGAGAATACAGTGTTGACATCATTAATCAGAGATCAAGGACTGAATATTTAAACTATTGCTTTTATTATAATTACACTGGTGCACAAATAAATAAACAATAAGTTATTATAAAATATTATCAATGCACTAAAAGAAAGCAAAACTGGTTTTCAAACAACATCTTATTACTTGAAAAGTATCAAAGTACATTTAATTACATCTTACCTAAAAAAAATCAAGTACAAAAATGAAAAGAAATTAATATGTATTCATACTGTGTATATAGAAATGGTTAATATATGATTACAGTTATTATCTATCTACTTCATACACATTTCAGGTAAGTACCTGACATTTCTAATGAAACATGGAAAATAAGATGACATTCAGTTTTAAAGTATTGGTAAACATATTACAATGGAATGGACATGTTATGGTTTCATTTTATTTAAAAACCCTGTCACTTATAAAGGTTGGGCCTTTGGCCCCTGTAAAAAAGAAAAACAAACAAACATTATTTAATACCATCAGTTAAAAATTAAGAAAAAAGAGCAAAAAACATACATTTGCTAATATACGTAAACACATTTTTAGTGCAAGAATTAACAAGACCTGTGACCTTACTGTGCTTTCTTGAAATCACAGTGCACTTGACACAAATTGCTACACTAGAATGCTTAATTTTAGAAATGTAAAGCAAAGTTAAGTGCATACCAAATATTTTCCATATATACAATTAGTGTAAGCGTGTGGATATCTATGCATGACTTAGATGTCATAGGGATTGCATATATCAATACAGCCATTTTAATGTGTTCACATTGCTAATACTGTTCAACCTCCACGCATTAAAACGGTAGAGCATAGAAAATGTTCAAATAGCATTTGGTTAGGGGGATCTACATAATCTCTCCAGGAGATGCATCCTTTTAAACATGGAACAGACATGTCTGTGTTTTCAAAAGAGGTGAATTATTTGAGTTTTTCTGTTACTGATAAATATCTGAAAGCTTTCAGAAACAATTTCCCCATTCAGCAAATCTTTCTATGAAGTCCAAGTGGCTAAAACTACTTTTGCCTTTCTGCCATAACTATAACTTGGGAAATCAGAACTGTTAACAGGGAGAATTCACACTTCCATGCAGAAGAGGCATTCATTTACCTTTTAAACTGATGTCTTGTTCAACGTGATTGAATAATACATACACAGACATATCACAAAAAGATGAGCCTTCAAACAGCTTGAAAGGGTTGGGACACCTTGTCTTGGGAAGAAATCAGCTCTGATTTTATTTTCAATTTTCCTAAAGTTCACAGGTATGAATGCATGGGTGATTTCCAGCAAGTATTACTTTGGTAATTCCTACACATGGAATAACAAGTATCACCTTCTTTGCAAGTAAATCTACTGGGCAATTGCCAGCTTTGTGTGAGTTGGCTCAAATGGCCCCATGACTGATGCTGATTGGATTTAAAAACTCTTGATAGAATCAAAATAATTAAAAGAAGAAGGAATGAAGCTATAAGTGATTCATAGAAAGGAAAGGGTTGGGTAGATATGTTACAGGTGTTATTTTTCAAATTTGAAAAAATAATTCCAGAATTAAGGCCAGAACAAGGTAATATTATGTAACTAATAAAACCTCATGAACATTGCTTTAACATTTAGTTGAGTTCACCAGATTTGAAGGGTCATATGTTCCATTTGTTCTGGTAAGAGTGTAGACCTTCAAGAAGTATATCAGAAAATGTGGCCTCATCAGAATTGCAAGGAATTTTTGTGTATTGATGGTGCCAGTACTGAAAGTGGAGTTATTCACTTTATTCGCAATCAGAATACTGGATATGAGAATCAGGAACAAAAGAAAACTTGACATTGTCAAAATGAAGATGAAGTGTACCAGTTGAATGTTTTATTAGTAAGAAAACTTAGGTAGACTGGAGAATGCCACTTAAATACAAATGATATGCAATAATCTATTCAGGCTGTGTCTGGAGTGACAGTGATATGTAAAAAGACATATAAGTATTAAAAGATATTAAATTAGTGGCTATTTCATAAACATCAATGTCACATTAGTATATGCATTTACTATAGATGAATTAGACAAAGATGCTGAGAAATTTTATGGAAGATTGCATGAGATGCTAGTTGTAATATCAAGAAAGTCTGTGACATTGCTAGTAGGCAACTGCAGTGACAATGTAAAAGAAAATGAAAAATCATATGAAGTTTTCAATTGTCTCAACAGAGTAAGGCAAGGGAGTTTTTTTTTTCTTTTATCACTCCCACCTACTTCAACCACCATAAATGGAAACTCAACACACATGGATATTATTGGATGAATAACTCTGGAATAAAATAGTGTTTATAATAGAGTACACTATCTAGTCAGCCTGGGCACTTCTAAGTGCACTTCAAGAACAGTGCACGAGAACCAACCATGAATTATTAGTGTAACATATAAGGGTCAGACTTAAAAATAGTATAGAGAGTTGGTGTGCCAGTAAAATATGATATGAAAAACGTTAAATCAGAATGTGAAACCAAACTTAGGAACAGGTTTACTCTATTATGCAAAAGAGAAATTGGAGAACTATATGAAGAAATGACACAAATGCGCTATTGCTTAGCGCATTGTAAGCCGCCCTGAGTCTCTGGAGAAGGGCGGCATATAAATCAAATTAAAAAAACAAAAAAACAAAACAAAAACAAAGCCAAATCTATGAAACCTGGGCTTGCTGCTTAATGATGTCCACGCATGTCTTGATCTTATAAAGCAAAATCACAATGTCAGTTCTTCCATTTTTATTTTACTGATGGAGTTAGTTCTTATGGCAAAAAAAAAGCAGTTATCTAAAGCTGCTGCTAGCATATCTGCAACCAGGTCATTTTTAGCATTATAGCATTGTAATGCTGTATAGAGCATTATAAATACTCTGTCAAGCAAGAACAATGCATATTCCACTACCCTTTTTACCTGCTTGTGTTCTATCACTGAGGAAAAATGTGCATCTCAGTTATTCATGTGTTGTGGACTAGCAAGTGGAAAGAGACTCTCAGAGAGCCATTCTCCATGTTGTCATTGGAGGCTCCATGGGTGAGACGGGTGGGTTGATAATACTGCAAGATGAAGGAGAGGATGGAGTAGGTGCTTGACAGGATAATCTGCAATAAATTGGGAACACGATATGTGGTAATGGTTGAGAATATATAAACCCATCTTTTCTTCTCTGGATCAGTGATCAAAATGGGGACAAGCAGGAAACGTGTAGAAAGGAGCCATTGGAGAGCAAGAACTTAGCTGGGAAGAAGGGAAGAGTTGAAGCTTTTTCTCTCAGGCTCAACTGCAAGTCAGAACAAACTAAGGAGACATAATGCTCAACTTACATCTGGTTGCTCTGTGCTCAATGGATTTCTGAGTAATCGCAAATCTAGAACCAGGCCAGACTTCTTAGGACATACCGTAGGTATACAATTTATGGCCTTTGTATAGTATAGCTCCCAGCAGTCCTCAGTATCAGGCATGTTAGCAGACCTGTTGAGATTGTTGGGATTCAGCAGCTTCTGCAGGACATGTTGTGTGTTGTGTATTATACCTTTGGGGAACAAGTCCTCAGACAATTCTTTAAAGACATTCCACATAACAAAATCTGGTGTGCTGCAGAAGAACGGATACATTTTGCAGGTTTTCCAAATAAGCTATTTCAACATTTTCTTTCTTGAGAAAAGAAGTGCATTTTTTAAAAAAATTAAGTAACATTTTCTTTTTGGGAAATGAAAAAAATTCCTTCAATATGTTTGTAACAGTTTTCTGACAGGAGTCATGAGTGCACATGAGCAGGTGAATCACATGCCCATTTCAGTTGTTGCATATGCACAATGTGGCAGTATGGATTTAAACATCTGTCCCCGTGTTAATGATATTGATAAAACATAAATAATCTTGCTTAAACAACCTACTATACACACTTATAAACCCTTCACTTTTTAATATCTGATACAGAAAGCATCAATTTGGACATTAAAATATTCATTAGTTATAAAATATTTAAAAACTTTATTTTTATTTCAATCTGGAAAGAAACTACTATTGATAAAGTAATCATTGATTTCAGCAATATAGTACAAAATAACCTAGTAAAATTTTATGGATTTTTTTTTTCTTTTTGGTCTTATTGTTCAGCAGTTGCACTTGTGGCATGCTGTCAATATCATTTTAAACTAAAAAGCCAATATGATAATAAATTCCAATGACACTTTTTTTTCTTTTCAGAGAATATAATATTCTTAAAATGATTGTTAAAAGAGGACCCTTTTCATGCTGCCAAACGTTTAGAAGCATAGATAAAAATTTAAATATATAAAATATATGTGATCACATCAACTCTACAGCAATATGGATTCTTTTTTAATCTTATCCTACACAGTGCCTTCTGGAAGATACTTTAATGCACAAATCTCACCCTCTTATCCAGAATATAAACCATCTCTTTCTCCTGTTAAAACCAAGAGGCCATAATTCTTTGGTCATGACATTATAGTCTAGTAAGATGGGTGTGATGTCACAGAGGACTATGACCCAATTACAGGATCAACCAGGAATATGACATTGTGCGACTTGAGAGAAATGTGCTCTACAGATCCAACCCAAGGGTCAGATATCCCAAGATGAAGTCAACCTTTCATATTGACTTTAGTGAGACTTTACACTAACTCATTCTACCTAGACATGGAATGTAGTATCTTACAAAAGGAACATGAACATTGTGAACAGATTTTTGTTACCTTTATCTTCAACAACACAAAACAAATGAATCATTTTAAGCTTCTAAAAATGGACAGAAAACAAATAACTCATGTGATGTACAATATTTAGTCACAGTGAACCCTGGTCTCCGCAAATCATTTCAATAGAAGAAGAAAAGTTCTCCATAAAGGTAGTACATGTACAAGACATATACATGTTTAATCACCCTAACTTATTGGCATTGCTAAATATATTTACCCTGATCCAGTAATGTAATCCATGTCAAGAAGCCTATTTCTATGTGCAGATGCCCCTTGCATTTATCTTTATTCTAAGTAATGATCAATGTAAGTAATGATCAATGCTTTCAAGAGTCTCACATCCAAATCCATTGGTCAATATGCAGCATTCTTGCATATTTTATGCACTGCAAAGCTAAACTAGCAAACAGAGTTGCCTGCTAACTGATAATCTGTATGGGAAGGGTGAGGTGACTCACTTCCAGGCATCTTCTCCCTACCACTAGTTCTCTTTAAGGAAAGTGAGCACAAGGGTTGTGCAAATATTTGATTTAGAGATTTGATCTAGATGCATTTTAAATTATCTGTTCAAATAAATTTAAAATTGACTTTATTTTTTGGAAATCATTTGAAACACTAAACTGGATCAAACTGACAATGTGGACTGAATCAACAATTAAAATCAATTTGCTAATCCATGCAGCTGAACAGTGTTTGGTGGGAATGTTCCTTGTGCAGCATCTGTTTTCAAAAGTTTTTGGAGGCCATCCATCAAACACCACAATCAATTCTCCAGCCATATGAGGGAGGCTGGTGTAAGTGATTTTGCTCATCTTTCCAAATAAATTAATATTTATGAAATCTGTAATTGACATTTTGTATACTAATGAACGCCCTTTTTTTTAAAAAAAAGTGCAGAATAAACACATTGAGCATTCAAGCAAATACTGTTTTACCTGCATTATTTGCACTTAGATTCTAAGACTTTTTATAGAAAATGCATCTAATGAATCTATGTGAATCTTTATTTAATGACTTCAGCCCTAGCACCAGTTTGAGTTGAATATTTTACTGTTAAACCAAAAATGTACATCCACATGCTTTTGTAAAGAGATTAAATTGGCCAGATGAGAAAATAAAAACATATATGTAACACAGAAAAAAGTTAAAAGTGTACACAGTTAAAACGTTTCATACATATTTGCATTATATTTGAAAAAGTGTATTAACTTGGGTTTTCTTTTAAAGAGATATGGAAAATATTTACATCTTACTCTTTTTCTTGGTCCAAAAGAATCCTCAGAAAAGGTGCATGCCTTCATTTCTGTGGGAGACATAGACTGGAGTCTGATGGAGGGTTCCATTTTAGTAATCTTTCTCCCTAGGTAGTTCTTCACCAGAATTTAGATTCTAGCAACTACCTTTCTAGAAAGGTAGTCTGACAGTGCAGTCTTCAGGAATGTATGGAAGATAATCCCCATGGACATATCATATTGCAGTATCCCAGAAAACAGTTTGTTGCTTGGAATATGGAGGAGGGCTGTATTTCTTGGTTCCTGTGCTTTTTTTCCAACTTGGCAAGATAGGCATGCTGTCTTGTTTGCAAAGTCCTTTCTCGGATTTCTGTCGTGCCTTGATTTCTTTGCACAGGCAACGTTTTTTCTCAATCATTTCCAGCATTGTATGGTCTCCATGCAACCACTGCATGCATGTCACCTATTTAGAAAAAGGCACAAGATTTAAACATGATTGATGAATGGTACTGGCCTCTTGAGTAAAATCAGGAAACAGTTACTTGAGGAGACAAAATATTTAAAACAGTGAAATAAAATAAAATGAAGTACAACATATAGAAGAATGGTTTCAGATGTATAAATGAGTAGCTGAAATTTTCCAGTCTTCATGTCAATATTATTCTAGATTAGTCTTCCCCAAACTGAATCCTTCTGGCTTCAAGCCTCATGAATCCGTTGATTGCAGTAATGGAACGCATGGTTAAAATTGAATCTAGGTTGTAGTGCAGTGTAGATCAAGAATTTAATAGAGTAGAGTAGAGTAGGGTAGGGTAGGGTAGAGTAGAGTAGAGTAGAGTAGAGTAGAGTAGAGTAGAGTAGAGTAGAATAGAATAGAATAGAATAGAATAGAATAGAATAGAATAGAATAACAGAGTTGGAAGGGACCTTGGAGGTCTTCTAATCCAACCTCCTTCTTAGGAAGGAAACCTTGTACCATTTCATACAAATGGTATGGTTATGTTTCATACAAATGGCTATATATATTTAATTCATTATTTAAAAGATCTGAACTAAAATAAATAAGACTACAGGAGAGAGAATGCCTGTTTCAAAAATCTTGCACTGGAAAGAAAATGCCTGTTGCCAAACCATAATATGTTCTAAATGAGTTTGGGCAAAATATCTGCCATAGATAGGATATGATGCATTTATAAATAAAAAAGCAATTAACAGAATTCAGTGTTTGCTCCTAGTAGCATAGCTATCTAATTCATTTGCCAGTTATGTCAGATTAATTTTTAATATTTGAACAACTAAGCAATTTATCTGAACATTTCAGGTATCAAATCTATTTAATGGAGAGTTACTGAAACTTTCCTTCAAACAAAGCCCAGCTGCAGTATAAATTATCATATGTTGTGCGAACACTTCTGGATTGTATGAAGTAAATAAACAAACACCAATTCAGAGAAAATGTGGAGTTTAGTGCAGCTACCATATTTGAGTTGCAAAAATCTGGGCAATTGACAGTAAAGTGTTACAATTTTCTGTACTTCTTTGCTTAGAGTTGATGCCAATTATTATTATTATTATTATTATTATTATTATTATTATTATTATTATTATTATTATTATTATTATTAGCCAAGGTGGCACAGTGGTTAGCAGCACTGCAGCTATTTCAGCTGACTGCTAGTTCAGCAGATCAGCGGATCAAATCTCACCGGCTCAAGGTTGACTCAGCCTTCCATCCTTCCGAGGTGGGTAAAATGAGGACCCAGATTATTGGGGGCAATATGCTATTTAGTATACTGTCTTTGGTGTAAGGCGCCCAGAGTCCTCAGAGAGTGGGCGGCATAGAAATGTGAATAATAATAATAATAATAATTGGCTTAAACAGTCCAGTTGGTAGGGGTGTATGTAACTAACAATAAGAATTATTTGTTTTTCAAAAATAAGCATATAAAATCTTCAGAGCGAAAATGTATTAAACAACCCACCCCCCCTTCATGCTATATATAGACTATTGCTATTTACTCTGGGAAAAAAACTAGTAAGGTAGGACTTACCTGTAGTTGCATGTGCTGCAATGAAAGTTCTCAGTTTAATATATATTTATTTTACTGTTTTTCCTGTATTGGGGGTATACATGATTATAATCTGAACTCCATAGTGACCGGAATTTCTTTTAGGATTCTTAAGATGTTACCCTGTCCCTTTTCTCTTCCAACCATATTTTCATCTTCACCATATTAGTGGTAGTATTTTATGAAGGTTTTGTTCTGCAAAAAGTCTATTTCACAGAAAGACAATTACACAATAATGTTAAAGCTAACTTGCTGGAACTTCGTTTCCAGTATTGTTTCCTTGATTTCCCAATTTTTGTTCCTATTATGAGCAAAACATTTCAGTCTCTTCACTCAGAAAGCTCTGGCTTCTGGTGATTCTTGTTGAATTCTCAAATAAGATAAAGGAACAATCTACCCAAGGTTTTAAATTTCAGACCCCATAATTCGAACAAGTAATTAAGTATTAACACAAAATATTTCTTTGCTTATAGTGAAATCCTATCTACTTATAAGTATTGTCCACATTAATGCTGCAAATGCCTGTAGACAGCTATACCTTAACATGCAATTTCAATCTTTTAATGTATACTTAATCAATCAGGTTCACTGATTAACTGATTTAATTATATGTCCAGAATCATGCTTTTATTACTAGTTCATTTCAATGAAATGTTACTTCATACTGCATTTCAAGGTATGATTCTTCGTTGTTGTCTTCAGCACCAAAACCATTGAAGATATGTCATAAAATAGGCTAACCTTCACTAGTTTGTAGATAAATATGCAAACACAACACAACTTAAAAATATGGAAACACTTCTGGATTGTATGAAGTAAATAAACAAACACCAATTCAGAGAAAATGTGGAGTTTAGTGCAGCTACCATATTTGAGTTGCAAAAATCTTGGCAATTGACAGTAAAGTGTTACAATTTTCTGTACTTCTTTGCTTAGAGTTGATGCCAACTAGAGTAACATAGAAAGCCAGTAAATAAATAAATAAAATGCTTTCTCTGACTTCAAACCATAAGAATGTGCCCAGAATAAGTTTTTAAATTTAGTGGTCCAGATCCCTGCATTATGTCCCAAGCATGACCTTGAGTCAGAAATGATGGAAATAAAAACTAGAGTATGAATAGTTACAATTAATCACTAGCTAAAGTTATCTTATTTTCCTGTGGGACTTGGCTCCATGAACTCTTGATAATGTCTGCCAATCATTTGTTGAAAAGAAGATGTTTAGGTCCTTGCTAACTAGCCAATACTTCTGATAGACAATTGATTGATTGATTGATTGATTGATTGATAGACAGACAGACAGAGATAGAGAGATATAATAGATGGAGATGAGAGAGAGAGAGAGAGAGAGAGAGAGAGAGAGAGAGAGAGAGAGAGAAAGAGAGAGATCCTTTGCATTTCCTCATATCAGTTAATGTGCAACATTAACACCAGTTAATGTTGCACATTGGGTAGCAGTCTACCTACATACTATTGATGACTCCTTGAGAACTGGAGACATGCATAAGTGCTGGCAACATTCTCATGCAGTTAAAAGTAGTGCACAAGAGCATTTCTCTGAAGTACCTCTATGTTTTCCCCATTCATACAAAGAGCCCATTTGTGGAATATCATTTTCTATATAGGATTGGGCAAGTGGAAATTTCTAAGAAAGTTCTTCTCTAATATTTGCTACACAGAGAAACATTCAAAGAATTAGAGCTGCAGTATTTTACAAGATCCTTGCTGCTTTATGTTATCTTATTAGACCATGAGAGAATCTACAATGGGCCATCGTGGAGAGAGACCTCACAGCCTAGTCCAGCTTGGGGGCTGGAAACTCAACTATTTTATCTATTACCTGAAGATAAGAACAGGACCAGTTCACAGCAGAATGAGAAAAAATGCTAATTAGTTGATTACAATATTAGTCCTTTTATATTAATTCAAGATAGACACATCTGTGTTATAAGAAGCAATAATTAAATCCTATTAGACTCTCCATACAAAAAAATCATTTTTATAAACACCTGTTATCAATAAATCAATTTGCGATTAAAATTTTAAGGACTGATAAGGAATGTGTGTAAAAATGCGAAACAGTTTTAATATTAAAAATATAAATAGATATTAGATTACAGTTTATTCAACAAAAGTTAATATTTCAGACTTATTAGATACCATTGTGTTTGTATAAAAAAAGAAATTAATAAATTCTCGCATTACTGGAGATGAATCAAGAATAACACTTCATTTGAACATTGTGTTTTTGCAATATCCTAAAATTATTGTGTTATGTTATAAGGAGGTAAAGATATCAATTTGATTCTGAAGCAAAGTTTAATATTGTCAAATATTCTTTTTAGCTCTATTGACAAGTGTACAATAGAAGAATATTGTATAATATAAATGTCTTGCTTATCTGAATAACCATGGTGTCAGCGTTCCAGAAAAACCCCAACTCCAAATAAAGATGTGGAAGCAAGCATTTTCCAAAGTTCTCTTTACTAGAATAGGCAAACTAGCACATCTGGGAAAACCTGAATCTGAAAAGCCCGGGTTTTCCCTTAGTAAGTCAAAACTCCCAAAACCATCCCCTTTCTCCCCAGTCGATCACATGCTCCAATCAACGTCCGTTCCATCTCGACCCAGCCCCCTGACCACTCCTTCTCCAGATGCTGGATTGCCCTGACCTTGACCGACAGGAAGAATGCTAATATGTCTATCAACAACCCCTCTCCTTAATCCCCCCTCCTACTTTCCCACACATGAGAAGGTGGCAGCATTGAAGCTTCCGGCCTAATATGACTTCCAAAGCTTACACACGGCTCATCAACCGCCTGAAAGAAAGCCTTCTCACTTGTAATGGTCTTTATGTGTTTGCGTGCTTGTCAAGTTTTCTTCTGTTATTGAAATGAAGAAAGTACAGAGGAATCCTTGGGCAATATGTTATCCAACCATTTAAGATACTAAAACTTTAGCTTGGACAAGGCTGTGGATGCTCATCAGAGAGATGCATATAACATTAATTTTGATGTCCTTTTGGTATCATAGTTTTTTAATTTATTCTGTTTAATTATTCTGGATTTCAATCTCTGCCACTTTTTGCTTTGGAATTTTTCTTTGTGTTATTGTTTCTAATGTGAATTTTTAACAATTTATTGTGTTTCTATTTTGAATTTTAAAAAAAGATTGAAATGAAGAGAATAAAATGAATTATACCAGACAAGATTTTCAAATCATTTTTGTAATCTTAAAAGCAGGGTGTTTTCTTAAATAAATCGGGGTATACTTTTTAACAAAGAAAATTTATTTTCTAAGTTATTAAAGGTGTAGGCATTTGCAGTTGGGGTGGGGATGATGACCTAATTGTCATGACATCATCACACAAATATTGTGACTTACAACATCACAC